TAACAAATAGACGGTGGTGGTGGTGGTGGTGTTAGGTATTATATAAGCTCTAAAAAGTACCACGATAAAACTTCATGGATTATATTTAAGCAAAAAGTCTTATATTCTCCAAAGAGAGTTAATGAAGTTCAACAGGGCACTGCCAGACCTAAATTGTAAATCTACTGCCAAATCACTATCCATTGGTAACATTTTCTAATAGGCATATGGTAAGATAAATAGAAGAATCAAATCAAGGAGCAGAATGCTATTCATTCTCTGGAGATACAGTTAATACAAATAAATTATTATCTGTTGATCAGAGTATGTCTCCTCCAAATAGCTGCTAAAAGTACATTTGGTGCTCACTATCTAGGTCAATGTATCCAAACATGGGAGGATTCAAAGGCATTATTTAGGATCATCCCATTACTATTGTATCAATTCCAACTTATTATGGTCCTATAGGAGAGGCAGCACTGTCCCACAGATTTCCAAGACAGACTGCCCCATTTCTTGGGCCAGAGTGGTGTGTGGGTCTTTCAGTTATCACCTGAGCACTTTAATGAGGGCACTACCCGGGCTCCGCGTAGGCTCACAGTTGTTTCAATAGTCTGACAGAGACCAATGCTGATTTAAATACATAAACAGAAAATTGATACAACTACTTAGAGCTTCACTGTCTTGATTATTCAAGTCAATATTCTACAGTCAAGAACCTGAGATTCTAACTAAAATTTCAACAAGAACTTGGAGTCCAAACTCATTCTTCCATAAAGCAATATTTACTCCTAGGAAAAATTGGGAACTTGGAGTAAACTTTTTACATTACTGACAAAACAGGTATTATTTTTCATTTGGAAATGACAAAATTCTATATGGTGTTATAGTGAATAATTATACTTCATTTATTTAGCTTATTACTCAGAAAAAAATATTTAGGAAGAAATAGTTTATACTTGAGAAACTCTTTGTGCCTCTCAAACCAAACAGTTACATAACATTTGTATTTAGAATTCTAAATAAATTTTGTATTTAGAATACTAATCTAAGCAAGGTGATTTCAAGTATCTTTGGAGAAAAGGAGAAAACTTAAGGCATACATCAAAGTTTGCCAAGCACTCCAAATAACTTCAAGCCTTAAATGCAGATAATTTGTTGTTGTTGTTGTTGATTGCCATGGAGCTGAGCACGACTCATAGATACCCTATTAACAAAAGACCTGAAGCCTTTCTGTAACTAACATCATCTCTCCACGTTCATAGAGTCTCCAGAGGCATGTAGGTTAGGAAGTAGATGCTATTCCTACTTCCAGATCTTTCTTAAACTGGGAGAGCCACCAGGCACTGTCCACCATGGACAACTGTTACAATCTTTGATACCCCGATGACACAAGATTAAGCATCACAATAAATCCAGATTATCTCAGTACAGCAAATTGACAGCCGAGTGTTGTACGATTTAGAGAATGTATTTCCAAGATAAAATAACATGAAGCCCAAGGGCCACAGGCCCGAGGGCCCTCCAGGATGTCCCTGTTGACAATAAATAAGAAGCTTAACTCAAAAAACAACCAGACATTCCACCTGATCCTCAACCAAAGCAAGCTTGCTCATTCCTTACTGATTCCTGCAATGTCACCTAGTCACCAAAATGGAGACGAGGGGCTCACCTTGAGACAAGGACCCCTCAGGATGTCCTGTTGACACTAAACAAGAGACTTAACTCAAAATCCTAAAAGGATAATTAAATTCTTTTACATAATCTCTAATTGTTGGATGCTGGCAATTATTAACTGTATTATATATAAATCGACTCTGGTTTAAATATAATATACTCTAAGTTCACAAGTTTTGGTACAATGAGTTACTTATTTAGAGTTTATTTATGTGGATTTTTCATTAGCATACAATGAGCTAGAAATGTCTTACCTTCGTTTATGATCTGTATTAGGTAATTCAACCTTGTAAGGCACCTCTCCTGGTTCTTCAGATCCCCCTTGATAAGTCTTATTTAAATATGTATAATATTAGTTTAGTCAATAAATTTAGCACATATTAATCAGATCATTTACGGCTATCAGAGAGTTTATTTTCTTAGTATAAATGATTTTGTGAACTCTTTAGATATATGCTATAAAATATTTACTGTATAAAAATACAGCAGATTCAACAGATCTTTACAAACGTGTTTGCTGTGACAGCCACTTTATTAGTACTATTTTATGCAGTGTAAATTTTCTTAGTATAAATGATTTTGTGAGCTCTTCAGATATATGCTATAAAACATTAATTGTATAAAAATACAACAAATTCAATAGATTTTTATGAAGGTATTTGCAATGAAAGTCACTTTATTACTACTATTTTAGGTAAACACAACAACAAGAACTTACATTTTATTATGGTGTACTATGCAACAAATAGGTTGGTGATTAAGATTTTATTTTAGTTCTTTGATTAACATAAGTTTACTGAATATATCACCAATTTCATGAATACCGTGCTCAGAGATGTGAGAGAAAATTAAGGAAGTTTAAAGAATAATTTCCCTGATATACTCTTTAAAGCTTAAGCCAAAAACATCCCCAGAAATCTTCTTAAAACTAATTAATAGTTTAGCTTAATGAATAAAAGAATTTCTGCCTTCAGCATTGTGCTCTTTCTGGGATCAAACTGACAAAGGTAACCTGAAAGAATAAATCAGAATTGTGTGGGGAATTATTTTATGTTAATAGGAGGAAACATAATGAAAAAAGGTTGGCAAGAATACACAGCACGGAGAACACACACACACACACACACACACACACACACAGCTCCATAGCTGTATGCTGTACCTGTGTTTGGGAACACCTTTCTTTAGTGCACTTCATTTTATTGCAATTAGCAGATACCTCATTGTTCACAAATTGAGTATCTTAAGTAATCCTAAATTAAGCAAGTCTACTAGTACCATTTTTTCCATCATCGTGTGTTCACTCTGTGCTTCTATGCCACACTTGGGCAGTTATCACAATTACTTCAACATTTTTTTCCAGGATGCTACTGCATAACAAATAGACGGTGGTGGTGGTGGTGGTGTTAGGTGCTGTCGAATCGTAGACGACTCTCAGCAACCTTATGAACAAAAGTCCTGAGCACTGTTCATAGAGTTTCTGGAGGCAAGTTTACAGTTAATAAATAGACTATAGTAGAAAAATAACTATTATATATATACTTGGACTCAAGATAAACCGTGCAGTTTATTTTACTGTAGTTGTTGTTCTTGTTGTTATGTGCCATCCAATCACCTGCGACTCATAAGGACCCTATGTGCAACAGCCCTAAACCCTGCTCTATCCTGTGCCAATCTTATTGTCTCTGACACACCTACCCCCATTACCCCAGTCACTGAATCAATCCACCTCATAGAGGGTCTTCCCGTCCTGCGCTGTCCCTCCACCCTCCCAAGTATGAGGTCCCTCTCCAAGGACTGATCCTGCTTTGAAACATATCCAAAGTATGTCAGACAAAGCTTCAGAATCCTTGCCTCCAAGAAGCAGCCTGGTCTCACCCTCTCTAGGATGAACTTGTTTGTTCTCCTAGCAGTCCATGGTGTATTCAATACTCTTCTCCAGCACCAAAGCTGAAAGGCATCAACTCTCCTTCTATCATCCCTAGTCATTGTCTAGCTCTCTGATGCATAGCAAGTAATTGCAAAGACCATGGCCTATATCAGGCGCATTTTAGTCTCCAGACTGACACTGTTGCTCTTTAGTACTTTGGAGAGGTCTCTAACAGCAGACTTTTCCAAAGAAATTTGTCTTTTAATATCCTGGTTGGTGGTACAAAGAGTTGTTGTTTACTGCAGTATTAAATTTGCTATGGCAGATCCATAGATCTGAACCTGCACTATCTCTGCGGAGGTGGAGGCAAATTTGAAGCAGCAGTGTAAACAAGAAAGCAATTATTTAAAGAGAAATGGGGAAAGAGGAGGCAGTGTCTGAATGAATGAAATAATAATAGTATTAATAATACAAATAAATAATAGCTTTAAGAGAGAGGTATTTCCTCTGTTTTGGTCTCTATTACAAATACAGTAAGGTCAATTTCTAGGATAAAAAATATGTTTCACTAATAGATGACTCTAAAAACTCACTGTCATCAAGTTGGAACAGGCATATGTGTGACCCAGTGGATTTTCAGAGGCAAAGAACTTTATGGGAGGATATTTTCCATCTTTCTCCCACAGAGCAGCTGATGGATTTGAAATGCCTGCTTTTGCACACACAGTGCGACTTCTGAACTACTAGGCCCTGAAAGCTCCCTCCTCAAAGATTAGAACATCAGAGGTGTGCTGATCATGTCCTATCTTAAAATAATTCTTGCAGGCTTTTAGTGTAAGATACATAACACAGTCTTAAGTTATTGAGAAGACACAGTCTGAAGGAAGATGTAGTGCTAACCTATGATATGGAGGGTTTATTTTATTGTTTGAAATGGTTTTCTCAGCCATTCAGTTTGACACATGAATGGACAGGATCATATACACAGGGTTTGCTTTTCTGTGCACAAGGGGATTGGCTAGTCTCATATACACAGGGTTTGCTTGTCTGTGCACAGGGGATTGGCTAGTCTCATATACACAGGGTTTGCTTTTCTGTGCACAAGGGGATTGGCTAGTCCTGCCATCTCACTAGATTTCAATGGAGCCAGTTTAAGGGCTGGAAATTGGGAATTTCAATACCAATAAGAAGAGGAAGCAGTGCATATCTTTTGGAATCAAAGATTCCTGTATCACTCAGATCAGGGCCTATAGGAACAGACGTAGCAGCTGCTGCAGAGAATAAGACGCCCAACGTGGTGTAGAGCTGAGTTGGGACTGTGGCCACCAGAGCCAGATGCCTTCATCTTCGCTGGTTGGAAGATTGAGAGATGTCATAAATGGCAGGACTGACGACCCTTTATAACACTGACCTAAGCCATCAGGCTGAAGGCCAGAGGACCTACAACTGCAGTTGAGAAGCCATCTGAACTGAAGGATTGCAGTCTGCTGTCAACCTGAATGATCAGCGCTCCCTGGGAGGCAAAGATGATGAAGCTTTGTCTCACGTGCTCTGTGCATGTTCCTTGGAGAGGTTATTCCTTGGAGAGGTCAGCATGCGTGGGAAGGTGGAATGGCATGAAAGAGAGAAGACCCTCAGCTAGGTGATTGTGACAGTGGGCTTGAATGTGCCAGAGATGTGAGGATGGCATAGTATAGGACAGGGGCCCGATCTAGTGTTGACAGGATCTCTATGAGTCATACTTGACAGCACCTAACAACAGCTTCCCTAAATAAACCCCATAGCTATATGGTTCCTTGTGGTCAATGAGCTATTGCAAAGTATTTTGGACCCCACAGAATTGGACTGGTACTGGAATTCGTAGAAACAGCTGTGGGAGTGTGTGCAGGGGTGCTGTGGAAGGGGGAAGGTCTTCCTTGCGAAGTTAGGAGATGTCAGACTTGGTTGTTCCCACACCCTCTTTTGCTCTTTTTGATATCAGCGAAAGGCTGACCTCTCTGAGAGTTTGAATCCAGCAGTACTTCACAGGGGAGAGGTGGGCAATCTTCTCCTGTGAGATTTACAGCCCTAGAAAATGTGCTGGAAGGTCAGTGATAAGTGGTTCCAACTTGGGAGTACTGAGTACGAGTTTGAGAATTTAGTTACTATCTTTTACTACGTCTCTTAAAGTTTTAGTTGAATTTCTTCCTTTAAATAGAGAATAATTTTACAGAGGAGTCAAGAAACTAAATTTACACTTAAATATTATTTTTTGAGCTTAGAAAATAAAGAACTATAACAATTATCCAAATACATTATCTCTATGTGTCAGAATCATAAAATATCTTTCACCTCTTATATAACAAAACATCAATTTAGTTAACAAATTTACATAGAAATAATACTGTTATATGACTATGACAATTTCTTAATTGAAACACTTATAAGGATCTTATTAAAGTATGTATGACTGTTAAATAAAAATTACTAAAATAAGATGGTGCTGAAGCTGTATGTTATTAAATTACTGTTGGTTTAGTAATGTGTTTAGTCATTATGAACTTACATCATCCAGTTCTACTATCTTTAAAGATGGGTCAAGTCTCACTAACTTCAATTCTTCTACAAGTAGATAAAAGGCTGGACTAGGTACTTTGGCTTCTTCAACTACAAAACAAGATTTGAAAAGAATAACATATATTCTCTGATAATATTCTTTTTTTAGAGTTACATAACCATTGATTTGCTGCACATCTGTAGAAAAATGTTAATAAACACTCTCAATTTCCAAGATCTAATTTTCCAGGATGATTTAGTATTCAACTTTAAATGGAACTATTTTAATTAAGGCAAAATAGATCTTGGGAATGAAAAGACGCGAGCATATATGATTTTGATCTGGAGATGAAGGGCCACAGAGTTGAACTGAGACTGGTATACTTAATTCAAAATAACAAATTTGAAAGTATGTAATCAAGGCTGCACTAACCATGACTTTCTTTATCACTTCCATTTGAAGAAAACTGTTCCCCACTAGTGGTTTTATTTGAATGTATTAAGTTATCTTCTGATTGCATGTTCGAAAGTTGGTCATGTTGAGCTCTAAAAGGCAAATAAACAATTAAAACACATTTTCTGAAACTCTACAAAGCAAGATTTAGATTTATTTCACAAAGCAGTATAGAAATTCAGTGATATAACTATAGTTGAACTTATTGACGTAAGAAAAAGTAGTATTATATCATAAAATTTAAATCAACCAAAATAATTTTGTATAACAAATTTTACATTGCATGTGATTTTTTTTTAATTCACTCATGGTTGTGCATTTTCTTCCCTTTTCCTCCCTTCCCCCTCATCAGGCCACTCTGCAATACACCTCTTGTTCCAGATTGCTGTCATACATATAACATGATATGCATATGATATTTTAAAGTACATTTCTTACTGTATTTTTTGAGAGAACAATCACAGTTACAGTGTCAGTATCAGTACAGCATGTGTAAGAATCGAAGGGGGGAAGCAGAAGGGTGGGGATGGAATGGGGGGTCATCGTGGGGTCATATGGTTTGATGGGTAGAGGGGGGATTGGGGAGGGGGTAGAGGGGGAATCCAGTGTGAGGGGCAATGTAAACACCAATGTAAAATTAAACACAAAACAAAAAACAAGTTGCAAGAAATTTTAAAAAACAATTTTTTAGACAATAAAAAGGAAGACGACTTATGGGTTATTCTGGTAGAAGTTTAATGATTATCTCATAATTTTGATGAATCGTGTAGAATCCATAGCTCTAGAAGATCTGAATTTCATTATATTTTTAAATTCTGATCTACACTTTTCCCGTTTGGCTCAGGGATATTCTATATAATCTTTGGTCAAACTATCAAGAAGTGGTAGCCAGGTGCCATTCAGTTTTCTGGACTCATGGAAAAGCAGACAATACTTCACGGTGATAAAATACCGCATTCTCACCGCAATGGATAAGGGTTCCAGTATCACCATGTATTTTCCATTTTGTTTTAATTTAGGCATCCTAATCTCAGTCCCACTTAGTAGAATCTGACTCACTTCCACTCCATTTACGTCTCCTGTTCCTAATTCTTCTCCTTCCTCTGATGCTCCAGGCACACGAAAGTCATGTTTCTCCCACGGAACAGCTGGAAGATTCAAAAGACTAAACACTCGGTTAGCATCTGACACATTCATTATACACTGTGCCACTTGCCAACCTTGAGGGTAATAGTGTCTCATTATTGCTTTGATTTACATCATCCCGTTTGCCAACAATGTTGAGTATCTTTTCACATATTTGGTAGTTATCTGAATAGCCTTTGTAGTGAAATGAAAAGAGCTTTAATAAAGTTCTCTGCCTATTTTATGATCAGGTTATCTGTCTTTTTGTTGTGGCTGAACTATTACACACAAACACATATATTTTGGCTATTTGATTCTTATTGAATATGTGATTTCCAAAGACACTTTCCCTGCTGGTATCTTGGTAGCTTGTCTTTTCCCCCTTTTTTTAATTAAAATTTTGTTATTATTATTGGATTTTTTTCACTATGTAAATATCCATTTACATAAATTTTGCTTTATAACATTAATTGCAATTGAGCAACACCATTTATTACAACATCCCATCAAATCCTCTCTGTGCTTCACCTTTCCCTCCCCTACCAACCCATCCACTCATCCTCTCCTCTCCCATCCTAGCCCTGCCAGTCCTCGACAACTGTTTCTACTTGTGTGCTAATCTTCTCTTGCTGTTAGGTGCCATCGAGTCATAGATGACTCATAGAGACCCTATGAACGGAAGACCTGAGCACTGTTCATAGAGTTTCTGGAGGCAAGCCATTTCGGAAGTAGATGCCACTCCTGCTTTCAAGCTAGTTTTAATCGGGACGCTCCACCAAACACTGTCCACCATAGGTGACCATTATCACATTTGGCACATCAGTGTCAGTGTTTAGCATCACAGCAACCACGAGTTATCTCTGTCCAGCAACACACAGACCAGTGCTATACCACTTAGAAGAATGTTTCACAAAAAACAAAACAAAAAACCCACCGCCTGCCCTCAACACTAAGCTCAGCCTCTAGGCCAGGTCTTTGTTCCTGAGGAAAAGAACAGAACTGTATCTGAAACACAAGCCCCCAAAAGCACACGACCCTAAAAAACTTGGAGAATAATATTTATAAGGTTCCATATTTATTTCTGTCTTTTACCCCTTAGAGTTTTCAAAGGCTCTTTTTTTTTTAAGAAGTTGACCACTAGGCCTTTCTTTCAAGGTGTTTCGAGTGAACCCAAACCCAACATTTCAATTAATATACAATATAGATTGAATTATGTACCCTCCAAATGTGTGTTGGTGATGTTAAATTCTATGCCTTTTAGTATAATCCCATCTAGAAATAGGTTGTTTTTGTTATGATAATAGAACAGGTTAGTTGAGGTTATATCTTGAATCAATATTTTTTGAAGTACAAAAGAAATTAAATAAATGCGCAGAGGAGAAATGATGAGGAGACAGGAAAGTCACAATGAGGATATCTCAAAGTAGAAGCTCAGGAGAGGTAAGAACCTTCTCGAGACCCAACAGAGAAAAACTTTCCCTACAACTGGCACCCTGAATCTCACATACTTTGCAAAGATAAATTTGTTTGGTGAAGTAAACCACTTGTGGGATTACTATTACAGTAACAGAAGACATCTAAAGTAGCAACTGAATGCATAAACCATTTGTACCATTCAAGTCATAGAATTCATAAAGCATAGCATATAATTTTTAATTAGCTAATCTAGGAATGAATATGGATCTGATAATGTAGGCCAAATATTAAGTCCTAAGCGAACTCAATACTATTTTCAAAGTTTCTACCAAGTTAGGCAGGTGATAAAGCTGGCTCTTCAACGAGTAAGGTGAAGGTGTACTCACTGTGTCATAAACTGCTAGAGGAAACGCAGCTTTGGAAAGCAGTTGGCAGTTTGGCAGTTTGTCATAAAGTTCTACACCTTCTACCTGACCTAGCTATCCAAGTTGCAGATATGTATCCAAAGAAATTAAAAACTAGCATTCAAACAAAAAGAAGCCTTAAAAAACATATCCAATTTAGTCCTAACTGTTAAAAACTGGAAGCTATAATATTCTTCAGTAGATGAATAAATAAACTGGTGTATGAAGATAACACAGTATTACTCCACAAAATGAAAAGTAAAAGGAATGGACTTCATACAAGATGTATCACTAGAGTAAGCAGTCATATTCAAGTGTACATACTATTTAATTTATGTAAAATTCATGAGAAGCAAGTTTACATGGATAGAATAGAGATCAGTGGTTGTCAGTGTTGGCAGAAGGGAAAAGAAAATAAATGGAATGCAAATTAATTTGGAGGGTGATGAAACTTTTCTATTTGATATTATGAGTCTATGCATTTGCAAGAATTTATGGAGCTGTTTACCACAATTCTAATCCATGAAAATGTTAAAAAAATAATTAAACAAAGCATAAGAAGAACCCAATATGACCACACTGAAAGAGGTAGGAGAGATTAACTGTTTTTGGTAACTAGATTTTGTATCTAAAGAAAGCAAGCATGGTACAAAAATACAAATGTCTTCCTTCCAGAGACTGCTGTTATGTGTATTACAGCAGACCAGATCTCGTATTAATCTCACAATCATTGTTGTGCTAGATCCATTATTGCATTTACTAAGTCAAATCATCTTATTAATATCCCTCATATTTTATGCATCTTTCTATTTTATACCAGAGAACCTCAGTGGGTGACATATTAGCAATGTGTCCAAATGTCAATCAAAAGTCTGCTGGAATTCAATTCATTAACTGTTCCCTGAAAGAAAGATAGGCAGTTTCCTTCCATAAAGATTTACATTTCCAGTAACCAGCTAGAGGGTCACCATATCTTAGACTCTACAAAGGCAATGGGTTTGGTTTGCTTGATTTCTAACTTCTAGAGAGCACGATGACCTCTAGGGATTGGTACATACTGATAACATCTGCATTTGCAATCTGTTCTGCTAAGAATAGCTGCAGACTCGTTTCTAAAAGGCAGAAATCAACAATGTCCCAAGTGTTTGATCTACTGTGTCACTCCATGATGAACATCAACCGTTCCTCCTTTATTCATTGCCCCCACTCCTCTATGTCCCTTGGGCATGGTAATTCACTGAAAGGTCTCACAGAAACTCAAACCCATCAAGTAAGTGACTCATGCAACTTTGGATAATGCAGGGTGGTGTTGTAGACACTGATGAGTAATGGGCCAAGATCCTGTTTAACGTCAATTGTGGCACAGACAGATGTCATGTTCCAAGAGACTGAGAATACAGGAGTGCAAGCACTGAGGTCTCATGAGCTTATATAAGCCTCTACTAGGGTAGTGCTTGTATCCCACCCTAATCCTATCTCCTTAATAGAATAATTAGTTTATCACAAAAGAAAAAGTTACTCAATGACCAGAAAAATAATTCTTAAGATCACAACATCCCTTTTAGGAAAATAACAGCTCTTAAACTATTTTATATGTATACAACAGTTAAACAAACTAATAAATTTATTAGGTACAATGATATCCAAGTCTTCTTATGAGCAAAATAAATTATAAAATAAGCAAAGGAATAATACTAAAATGATGCTCTTTGGAATTAGGTGTGTGCAAAACCATGTTTACTTTAATGAATACTTACATGAGGACAGAAATAAAATTACTGTGTATTTAAAAGGGAGGTAGCATATATACATAGATATTTCATAATTCCTCTACGAGAACTATAATCATTGATTGTTGGGTATTAATGAATCTACTTAGAGATCCTGTCCTAGATCATTTAGAATAAAATGAAGCCATTCCTTAAAATAGTAAAAACAGGACCAGGACAGGGTGCCAATACAATAGATGCTCAAAATCAATTAAGAAGAAACATAATCTGTGTCAAAGGAATAGAAGCTTCACCGTGAAAATGTTTCCAATTATTGATGCAGAAACATTTAAATTACAAAGTAAACAACAATAGTGTATTAGGTATTTTTAGTTTAAAGAATAAAAAACAAACAAAACAACACACCGATATGCCAGG